ATAGCCGTGTGGAGTTCTATTAGTGAGGTCATTCATTCTTTGATAAACAGGTGGCAATTATTGCCCTTATTTAAGGAAGGAAGGCAGCAAATGTTGGACATGCTGGTTACAGTGCATTTCTCTCTGAAATTCTGAGGAAAATGGGTCGTTCCAGACATTGTTCAGAAGAACAGCGTACCTTGATTAAAAGTTGATTGGAGAGGGGAAAACATATAAAGAAGTGCAGAAAATGATCGGCTGCTCAGCTAAAATGATCGGCAAATGCTTTAAAATGGCAACCAAAACCTGAAAGACGCGGAAGAAAGCGAAAAACTACCATTGGAATGGATAGAAGAATAGCCAAAATGGGGCGGACTCAGCCAACAATCAGCTCCAGGAAGATGAAAGAAGGTGTGACGTTCCCTGTGAGGACTCAGCCAACAATCAGCTCCAGGAAGATGAAAGAAGGTGTGATGTTCCCTGTGAGGACTCAGCCAACAATCAGCTCCAGGAAGATGAAAGAAGGTGTGACGTTCCCTGTGAGGACTCAGCCAACAATCAGCTCCAGGAAGATGAAAGAAGGTGTGATGTTCCCTGTGAGGACTCAGCCAACAATCAGCTCCAGGAAGATGAAAGAAGGTGTGACGTTCCCTGTGAGGACTCAGCCAACAATCAGCTCCAGGAAGATGAAAGAAGGTGTGACGTTCCCTGTGAGGACTGTTACAATTAGAAGACGCCGATGTGAAGCCAAGCTATCTGCAAGAAGTCCCCGCAAAGTCCCACTGTTGGGAAAAAAAGACGTGTGCTGAAGAGGTTACAATCTGCCAAAGAGCACATTGACCGGCCTAAAGAGAAATGGCGCAACATTTTGTGGACTGATGAAAGTAAGATTGTTCTTTTTGGGTCTAGTGGGCGGAGACAGTTTGTCAGACGACCCCCAAACACTGAATTCAAGCCACAGTACACTGTGAAGACCGTGAAGCATGGTGGTGCAAGCATCATGATATGGGGATGTTTCTCATACTACGGTGTTGGGCCTATTTATCGCATACCAGGGATCATGGATCAGTTTGAATCCATCAGAATACTTGAAGAGGTCATGCTGCCTTATGCTGAAGAGGAAATGCCCTTGAAATGGGGGTTCCAACAAGACAACGACCCCAAACACACCAGTAAACGTGCAACATCTTGGTTCCAGACCAACAAGATGGACGTTATGGAGTGGCCAGCCCAATCCCCGGATCTTCATCCAATAGAAAACTTGTGGGGTGACATCAAAAATGCCGTTTCTGAGGCCAAACCAAGAAATCGAGAAGAAGTGTGGAATGTGGTCCAATCATCCTGGGCTGGAATACCTGATCACAGGGGCCAGAAGTTGGGGGACTCCATGCAACACAGATGTACAGCAGTTCTCAGAAACAGTGCGACTACAACCAAATATTCATGAAGTCATTCAAAGGAAAGCAAAATCTTCAAACATTTCTCAGTTTATATAGTGAATGTTGGAGTTTGTAAAGAAGAATACAAACACGGCCATTTTTTTTGAACCGTCTAATATTCACTTTTCTTCCATTTTTTTAGAGGAACAACACAAATTTGATGTATTTTTCTTCATGTTGTGATTTGGAATAGAATGTGTCGTGTTCCCAATGCATTTGTGTGGATGGAAATAAAAGGATTAGAAGGATTTGCAGCTTTACTCACTTTTTCATCACACGGATATTATTCTGAACACAACTGTATGTAGTCCAGTGCAGGGGGCCCCTAAAACTGGAGTGGGCAGTCCAGAAGTGGATATTCTAGGTCAGGGGTGTCAAACTGTTGCCCTCCAGCTGTTGAAGTCCCATCATGCCTCTGGGAGTCTTGCCTGTGGATGTCAGTCTTGCAAGGCCTTGCAGTTCCTCAACACCTGGAGGGCCATAGTTTGGAGACCCCTGTTCAAGGTCAGGGGTGTCAAACTGACGGCCCTCCAGCTGTTGTGAAACTACAAGTCCCACCATGCCTCTTCCTTTGAGAGTCATGCTTGTAACTGTCATTCTTGCAATGCCTAATGGGACTTGCAGTTCCTCAACACCTGGAGGGTCATAGTTTGGAGACCCCTGTTCTAGGTGATCCACGTTGCTGTCTGTTGGATCCCATGAGTGTACCACGTGGAGGAATATCTGCAGATGTGAGCCCAAAGTCAAGTGTAGTGCCTACAAGATCCTCTGCAGATGACAGTTACAAGCATGACTCCCAAAGGGAGAAGCATGATGGAACTTGTAGTTTTGGATATTCTAGGTCAGAGGTGTCAATCTGTGGCCCTCCAGCTGTTGAGGTCCCATCATACCTCTGCTGCTGGGAGTCTTGCCTGTCAGAGTCTTGCAAGGCCTCATGGGACACCTGGGAGGGCCATAGTTTGGAGACCCCTGTTCTAGGTCAAGGGTGTCAAAACTGATGGCCCCCCAGCTGTTGCAAAACTACAAGTCCCATCATGCCTTCCTATGGGAGTCATGCTTGTAACTGGCAATCTTGCAATGCCTCATGTGATTTGTAGTTTGGCACCAGCTGGAGGGCTGCAGTTTGACAACCGTGTGCTAGGTGGTCCACTTTTATGTCTGTGGGATCACATCTGCAGAGGATCTTGTAGGCACTACACTTGTCTTTGGGCTCACATCTGCAGATATTCCTCCACATGGTACACTCAAGGGATCCAACAGACAGCAAAGTGGATCACCTAGAACAGGGGTCTCCAAACCATGGCCCTTCAGGTGTTGAAGAACTGCAAGTCCCATGGGGCCTTGCAAGACTGGCAGCCACAGGCAAGACTCCCAGAGGCATGATGGGACTTGTAGAACTTCAACAGCTGTAGGACAACAGTTTGGAGACCCCTGACCTAGAAGAATAACCCTAGATGGGAAACCCATAGGCAGCAAAGGGTACGGACTACTCTAGATGCGACCCCATTCTATGAAAAATCGGAAACGGCCATCACACCAGGAGTAAAAGTCCTCAAATCTCCACCGAGGTCCTATTTGTAATAACATAACTTGAGGAAAAAGAAGTCGGGAACCCACCAACGTTTTGGAGACACTATGGCCCACGTCATGTCAGTTTATGAAAGAAGATCATAAAGGTTGGTGGTTTTTAGGTTTCCAATTATTAAAGGTAAGTTATCACAACTAGGATCTCAGTGAAGGTTTGAGTCCCTTTACCCCCGGAGTGATGGCCATTATTGCCATTTTAGGTTCCCTGTTAGGACATACTTTCCAGACCAAAGATGGCGCCAGCTAATGAGTATCACACGTTGAGATGATAGGAAGCACGTCCACCTGAAGACCGTACCAGGGAATCTCCTCCATATATCGTGTGTGTGTGGACTGATCCTCTCCCATCGGGTAATACACGATCAGAAGAAAGGAAGAAGAGTCGGTTGCTTGCTCATTTATGCCCATGGGGCCATTTATTGATCCAAGTCAGTGACAGGTTGTACGCCGGACAATTATCAAGTAAACAGAAGTGCTCGGACATTCAAGGAAAGACGAAACACTCGTAAGCACAGTTCACTCTACTAGACGTAGACAAATCTCAATAAGTATCACCAGACTGGAGGGAGGGAGTGGAGGATTGGGGTGAGGATCAAGTTAAAGGCACATTGCAGACACATCAGGAGAAGTGTGAGGTGGTGGTGGAGGCCAATGTCTTTCTGTAGGTGACATTTTATGGAGGCCAATGTCTTTTGTAGATGGAAAGTGAAGCATATTGTGCAGAGAGGTGTGGGGTGGTGGAGGAGGCCATTGACTTGTATAGATGGAAAGTGAAGCATATGTACAGAGGGGGTGTGGGGTGGTGGAGGAGGCCATTGTCTTGTATAGATGGAAAGTGAAGCATATTGTACAGAGGAGGAGGCCAACTTGTATAGATGGAAAGTGAAGCATAGTACAGAGAGTGTGGGGTGGTGGAGGAGGCCAATGTCTTCTGTAGATGGAAAGTGAAGCATACTGTACAGAGAAGTGTGGGGTGGTGGAGGAGGCCATTGTCTTGGTATAGATGGAAAGTGAAGCATACTGTACAGAGAGGTGTGGGGTGGTGGAGGAGGCCAATGTCTTCTGTAGATGGAAAGTGAAGCATATTGTACAGAGAAGTGTGGGCTGGGGGGAGGAGGCCATTGTCTTCTGTAGGTTAAAGATGATTTATATTGTATGGAGAGGTGTGGGGTGGCAGAGGAGGCCAATGTCTCCTGTAGGTTACATATTGTAGAGTGGTGGGGTGGTGAACACCAATGTCTTCTGTAGGTGAAAGGTGATGTATATCATACGAGGTGGGGGTGTTGGAGGAGGCCAGTAGTTTCTGTAGGTGGAAGTTGACATATATTGTATGGAGAGGTGTTGGGTGGAGGAGTAGGGAGATCGATGTCTTTTGAAGGTGACAGGTGATGTATATCATATGGAGACAAAGGTGGTGGAGGAGGCCATTGTCTTGTATAGATGGAAAGTGAAGCATACTGTACAGAAAAGTGTGGGGGTGGTGGAGGAGGCCATTGTCTTGTGTAGATGGAAAGTGAAGCATATTGTGCAGAGAGGTGTGGGGTGGTGGAGTGGTCTTCTGTAGAGAGGTGAAGCCATAGTGTACAGAGAGGTGTGGGGTGGTGGAGGAGGCCATTGTCTTGTAGATGGAAAGTGAAGCATATGTACAGAGAGGTGTGGGGTGGTGGAGGAGGCCATTGTCTTGTATAGATGGAAAGTGAAGCATACTGTACAGAAAAGTGTGGGGTGGTGGAGGGAGGAGGCCATTGTCTTCTGTAGATGGAAAGTGAAGCATATTGTGCAGAGAGGTGTGGGGTGGTGGAGGAGGCCATTGTCTTCTGTAGATGGAAAGTGAAGCAATTGTGCAGAGAGGTGTGGGTGGTGGAGGAGGCCATTGTCTTCTGTAGATGGAAAGTGAAGCATATTGTGCAGAGAGGTGTGGGGTGGCGGAGGAGGCCATTGTCTTCTGTAGATGGAAAGTGAAGCATAGTGTACAGAGAGGTGTGGGGTGGTGGAGGAGGCCATTGTCTTCATGTAGATGGAAAGTGAAGCATATTGTGCAGAGAGGTGGAGGGTGGTGGAGGAGGCCATTGTCTTGTATAGATGGAAAGTGAAGCATACTCTACAGAGAAGTGTGGGGTGGTGGAGGAGGCCATTGTCTTCATGCAGATGGAAAGTGAAGCATACTGTACAGAAAGGTGTAGGCTGGGGGGAGGAGGCCATTGTCTTCTGTAGGTTAAAGATGATTTATATTGTATGGAGAGGTGTGGGGTGGTGGAGGAGGCCAATGTCTCCTGTAGGTGACATATTGTAGAGTGGTGGAGTGGTGAATACCAATGTCTTCTGTAGGTGAAAGGTGATCATAAGAGGTGGGGGTGTTGGAGGAGGCCAGTAGTTTCTGTAGGTGGAAGTTGACATATATTGTATGGAGAGGTGTTGGGTGGAGGAGTAGGGAGATCAATGTCTTTTGAAGGTGACAGGTGATGTATATCATATGGAGACATAGGTGGTGGAGGTGGTCAATGTCTTCTACAAGTGGAAGGTGACATATATTGTATATAGAGAGGTGGTGGTGTAAGTCTGAACACTATAGGTGGAAGGTGAATTTTACTGTATAGAGAGGTGTGGGGTGGTGAGGACAGCCAATATCTTCTGTAGCTTGCAGGTGACGTATATTGTAGAGGCGTGAAGTGGTGGAGAAAGTCAGAGTCTCCTGTAGGTAGAAGGCGACGTATATCATAAGAGGTGGGGATATTGGAGGAGGCCAGTGTGTTCTACAGGCGGAAGGTGACGTATATTGTATGGAGAGGTGTTGGGTGGGGGAGCAGGAAGATCAGTGTCTTCTCTAGGTGAAATGTGACATATCACATGGAGAGGAATAGGGTGGTGGTGGAGGTCAATGTCTTATACAGGTGGAAGGGGACATATATTGTAAAGAGAGGGGTGGGTTGGTGAGGGCGACCAATGTCTTCTCTAGGTGGTAGGTGACTTATATTGTACAGAGAGGCATGAGATGGTGGAGGAAGTCAGTCTCTTCTGTAGATGGCGTGTATTGTAAGGAGATGTGTGGAATGTGGAGGAGGCCAATGTCTTCTGAAGTTTGACGATGACTTATATTGTACAGAGTTGGGGTTGGTGGAGAGGTTTGGGGTGGAGGAGTAAGGAGATCAATGTCTTTTGTTGATTAAAGATGATGTATATCATATGTAGAGGCATTGGATGGGGGAGGAGGTCAATGTCTTCTGTAGATGGAAGGTGACGTATATTGTACGGAGAGGTGTGGGGTGGTGGAGGAGGTCAATGTCTTCTGTAGGTGGAAGATGATGGACATTGTATGAAGAGGTGTGGGGTGGAGGAGGCCAATGTTTTCTGTAGGTGGAAGATGGACAATGTATGAAGAGGTGTGGGGTGGAGGAGGTCAATGTTTTCTGCAGATGATGGACATTGTACAGAGGTGTGGGATGGAGGAGACCAATGTTTTCTGTTGATGACGTATTGTACGAAGGTGTGTGGGTGGTGGAGGAGGTCAATGTCTTCTGTAGGTGGAAGATGACAGACATTGTATGAAGAGTTGTGGGGTGGTGGAGGCCAATGGTTTTCTGTAGATGACGTATCATACAGAGGGGTGTGGGGTGGTGGAGGAGGTAAATGTCTTCTGTAGGTGGAAGATGATGGACATTGTATGAAGAGATGTGGGGTGGTGGAGGCCAATGGTTTCTGTAGATGACGTATCGTACAGAGGGGTGTGGGGTGGTGGAGGAGGTCAATGTCTTCTGTAGGTGGAAGATGATGGACATTGTATGGAGAGGTGGGGGTGGTGGAGGCCAATGTTTTCTGTGGATGACGTATTGTACGAAGAGGTGTGGGGTGGTGGAGGCCAATGGTTTCTGTAGATGACGTATCGTACAGAGGGGTGTGGGGTGGTGGAGGAGGTCAATGTCTTCTGTAGGTGGAAGATGACGGACATTGTATGAAGAGTTGTGGGGGTGGTGGAGGCCAGTGGTTTCTGTGGAGGACGTATTGTACAGAGGGGTGGGGTGGGGTGGTGTCTTCTGTAGGAGACCAATGGTTTCTGTGGAGGACGTATTGTACAGAGGGGTGTGGGGTGGTAGAGGAGACCAATGGTTTCTGTGGAGGACGTATTGTACGGAGGGGTGTGGGGTGGTAGAGGAGGCCATCGTCTTTAGGTGGCAGGTGATGTATATTACATGGAGAGGGCATGGAGGAGAGTGTCGGAGAAGACCCTGGACCACATTTATCAACATTTGAAATAAGAACTGTCTGTACTGCCACATGCTTTTTAAGCCAACAGTGGAGTTGAAATAAACAGCAGGCACACCGGGGGGCCGGTCAAGAAGTCTACTGCCTCCCTGGCATACCATCCTACTTGCCCTTCTACATAAGGGCAAAGATTCCCCAAAAAGGAGGTATGCCTCCCACAGCACCGGTGCCCAATGCTGACAGGTACAGCGCTCTCTAGCGCCACCTGCTGCTCGGGGTAGGGTGGTGGCAAGGGGAGGGGTTATGTGCCAACAACCTGCCCTGAACAGAGGTCATCTATGGGATCCCCCCCTCAGCCTTGAGCTGGATGGAGGGCACGGTGTGGAGGGTGACAGTCTAGGGGGGCTTGACATGCATTGCAGGATAGTGGGGTACGAGGACACGGCAGACACGGGGGGGCACACGGCGTGGTACAGGTGAGTCTTTGGCACTGGCAAGGTTTACAGATGAAGACTTTGTGCGTTCCCGTAAGAAAATACTGAAGATCTGAGGGCGCTGGACCTGCTGAAGGGGCAGAATAAAGTGCAGGAGGGGGGAGAAGAATCCCTGAATCAAGCTACAAATGAAGATGGAGGATCTGCGGAGGGCCGGCGGCCCGGACCGGTTCAGGACTAACCGGCGGAAGTCACAGACGCCGTAAACACAAGACGAAGAACCAGCAAACAACCTCACGCAGACGGACGAGTCACAGAAGAGTCCGGCCCATGACACCATGGTCAATTCTTGGTCAATGTCTGAAATAGTGATCTCTACCATAAACTCTGAATTATGTGCAACTAAAACCAACGGAGCTCAAGATGGTGGCCTCCCGCACCACATGGGTTGGCCCCCGAATGCCCGTCCACCCGCCCCGGGGGTCACCACATTCCAGTGATCCCACCCGGCCCGCTCTGGTTGCTGGTGAGTGTATGGCACGTAGGACTAGAAGCCCCTTATAAAACCTGGAGAAGGACCCCTGAGCTCCAAATGTCAGTTCCAGCTGTGGGAGGGAGGAGGTCCCTCTCCGTTCCGGGAGGCTGAAATTCTCTGTAGCGGACCCCGGGGGTGGGGGTGAGGATGGGGGAGGTCACTCAGTGGGTTGGGTGTGAAGTCTCTACGTTGGTCCCAAAGTTTGTTTCCTTCCTAGATAGGACTTTTATAGTACAGTGCCGGTGACCACGAGCTCCGGGTTCTCAATGTCCTTTTTGCTCTGCACCATCCTAAGTTCCAGCTGGGCCGTATGTAGGTCGGGCCCCGGGGCCGGCGAGAGCTGCGAAGAGAAAACCAATCCGATTACAAGAAAGCAAGCTCCTCCCACTCAGGCACCAATACAGCAAGTATCCAAAAGTCCACGTGTGTATGTCCCCCGGTGGGTGAAACATGACAAATCTCATACGTGGACAGATATGGTGCCTCCATCACTACCTGTCATACACCATATGACTGTCCCACCCCCGGGGTGCAGGCAGAGGCCCATCCCACCCCAGACAGAGGCCCAGTCTACCCCAGGGAGCAGACAGAGGCCCAGTCTACCCCAGGGAGCAGACAGAGGCCCAGTCTACCCCAGGGAGCAGACAGAGCCCAGTCTACCCCAGGAGCAGACAGAGGCCCAGTCTACCCCAGGGAGCAGACAGAGGCCCAGTCTACCCCAGGGAGCAGACAGAGGCCCATCCCACCCCAGACAGAGGCCCATCCCACCCCAGACAGAGGCCCATCCCACCCCAGACAGAGGCCCATCCCACCCCAGACAGAGGCCCATCCCACCCCAGACAGAGGCCCATCCCACCCCAGACAGAGGCCCAGTCTACCCCAGGGAGAAGGCAGAGGCCCAGTCTACCCCAGGGAGCAGACAGAGGCCCAGTCTACCCCAGGGAGCAGACAGAGGCCCAGTCTACCCCAGGGAGCAGACAGAGGCCCCCAGTCTACCCCAGGGAGCAGACAGAGGCCCAGTCTACCCCAGGGAGCAGACAGAGGCCCATCTACCCCAGGGAGCAGACAGAGGCCCAGTCTACCCCAGGGAGCAGACAGAGGCCCAGTCTACCCCAGGGAGCAGACAGAGGCCCAGTCTACCCCAGGGAGCAGACAGAGGCCCAGTCTACCCCAGGGAGCAGACAGAGGCCCAGTCTACCCCAGGGAGCAGACAGAGGCCCAGTCTACCCCAGGGAGCAGACAGAGGCCCAGTCTACCCCAGGGAGCAGACAGAGGCCCAGTCTACCCCAGGGAGCAGACAGAGGCCCAGTCCTAACCCCAGGGAGCAGACAGAGGCCCAGTCTACCCCAGGGAGCAGACAGAGGCCCAGTCTACCCCAGGGAGCAGACAGAGGCCCATCTACCCCAGGGAGCAGACAGAGGCCCAGTCTACCCCAGGGAGCAGACAGAGGCCCAGTCTACCCCAGGGAGCAGACAGAGGCCCAGTCTAACCCCAGGGAGCAGACAGAGGCCCAGTCTACCCCAGGGAGCAGACAGAGGCCCAGTCTACCCCAGGGAGCAGACAGAGGCCCAGTCTACCCCAGGGAGCAGACAGAGGCCCAGTCTACCCCAGGGAGCAGACAGAGGCCCAGTCTACCCCAGGGAGCAGACAGAGGCCCAGTCTACCCCAGGAGCAGACAGAGGCCCAGTCTACCCCAGGGAGCAGACAGAGGCCCAGTCTACCCCAGGGAGCAGACAGAGGCCCAGTCTACCCCAGGGAGCAGACAGAGGCCCAGTCCTACCCCAGGGAGCAGACAGAGGCCCAGTCTACCCCAGGGAGCAGACAGAGGCCCAATCTACCCCAGGGAGCAGACAGAGGCCCAGTCTACCCCAGGGAGCAGACAGAGGCCCAGTCTACCCCAGGGAGCAGACAGAGGCCCAGTCTACCCCCAGGGAGCAGACAGAGGCCCAGTCTACCCCAGGGAGCAGACAGAGGCCCAGTCTACCCCAGGGAGCAGACAGAGGCCCAGTCTACCCCAGGGAGCAGACAGAGGCCCATCCCACCCCAGACAGAGGCCCATCCCACCCCAGACAGAGGCCCATCCCACCCCAGACAGAGGCCCATCCCACGCCAGACAGAGGCCCATCCCACCCCAGACAGAGGCCCATCCCACCCCAGACAGAGGCCCATCCCACCCCAGACAGAGGCCCATCCCACCCCAGACAGAGGCCCATCCCACCCCAGACAGAGGCCCAGTCTACCCCAGGGAGAAGGCAGAGGCCCATCCCACCCCAGACAGAGGCCCATCCCACCCCAGACAGAGGCCCATCCCACCCCAGACAGAGGCCCATCCCACCCCAGACAGAGGCCCATCCCACCCCAGACAGAGGCCCAGTCTACCCCAGGGAGCAGGCAGAGGCCCATCCCACCCCGGGACAGAGGCCCAGTCTAGCCCAGAGCACGGACAGAGGCCCATCCCACCCCCCCAGACAGAGGCCCATCCCACCCCAGACAGAGGCCCATCCCACCCCAGACAGAGGCCCATCCCACCTATCCCCCTCCAAACCCCAGAAGAGGGGTCCGGGGGGGACCAGAATGAAAATAAAAGCCTTTAACCTACAAAAAAATAGGTCATAAAAATATGCCCCGCCCATATCAGCTACAGCTCCTCCCACCACGCAGACTCACCGCGGGCGCTGTTGATGGTCCTCTGCAGGACGTGGTGCATGGCTGACACCGTCTTCTCACACGCCAACTGCAACCAAACACAACCATTCCATGATACTCTGCAGAACATGGGACCCTAGTCACCCGACCATGGGGAGCCCCCCGTGCAGGCCCCCCACCCCAGGACACGGACATAGGAGGGGGGGGGGGGACTACTATGTGCCGGGCGTGTATATCAACACCATGGGGGAGCCCCCCGTGCAGGACCCCCCACCCCAGGACACGGACATAGGAGGGGGGGGGGGGGGGGGGGGACTACTATGTGCCGGGCGTGTATATCAACACCATGGGGAGCCCCCTGTGCAGGCCCCCCACCCAGGACACGGACACAGATAGGAGGGGGGGGGGAGGGGGGGGGGGGAGAGACTACTATGTGCCGGGCGTGTATATCAACACCATGGGGAGCCCCCTGTGCAGGCCCCCCACCCAGGACACGGACACAGGAGGGGGGGACGGGACTACTATGTGCCGGGCGTGTATATCAACACCATAGGGGAGCACCCCCGTGCAGGCCCCCCACCCCAGGACACGGACATAGGAGGGGGGGGGGGGGGGAGACTACTATGTGCCGGGCGTGTATATCAACACCATAGGGAGCCCCCTGTTTCAGGCCCCCCACCCAGGGACACGGACATAGGAGGGGGGGAACGGGACTACTATGTGCCGGGCTGTGTATATCAACACCATGGGGAGCCCCCTGTGCAGGACCCACCCCAGGACAGGACATAGACATAGGGGGGTGGGGTGGGGGGGGGGGGGGGGGGACTACTATGTGCCGGCGTGTATATCAACACCATGGGGAGCCCCCCGTGCAGGCCCCCCACACCCAGGACACGGACATAGAAGGGGGGGGGGGGGAGACTACTATGTGCCAGGCGTGTATATATCAACACCATAGGGAGCCCCCCTGTTCAGGACCCCCCCACCCAGGACACGGACATAGGAGGGGGGGGGGAGACTACTATGTGCCGGGCGTGTATATCAACGCCATAGGGAGCCCCCTGTCAGGTCCACCACCCCAGGACACGGACATAGGAGGGGGGGTATGTGCCGGGCGTGTAATAAACGCCATAGGGAGCCCCCCCCATTGGACGATGGGCTTACCCCACCTTGAAGTTGTTGGGGTGATGGTGAGTCCAGGCAGAGCAGCATGGAGGCGAAGAGATCCCCGGTGCCCACAAACACACGGCGTCCCACGCGTGGTATCTCCAGGCAGATCCTCAACGAGTGCGTCCGTCCGTCCTCCCCCACTGCAAGAGGAAGGAGAGAGGACAGCGTGACGGCACGGCGACGCAACATCCAGAGACGACAAAACTGCCACGGTCAGCAACGCCACGCCACATGGCGGACCCCCAACCCTCTCCGAGCTCCTCCTACATCATCACCAAGTCCACCACTTCTTCTGGAGCCCCGAAATATCTCCGTGAAGGGAGCTGGCTACACCGCGGGCTCACCGACACCGACCACTGACACCGCCACCGACCACGGCATTCTCAGGACATGGGCCCCATGGTACGGGGCCTCTTCTGTACATACTACGAGGGGGAGCGCCCCCGGCGCCACAGACTCTATGGGGAACACTCATGGGGAGGGGTGCCACATCTCTAAATCCACAGCTATGCTGGAGATGCCGCCCCCCGCGCTGGAACATCAGCATGGAGGAGTGCCTTACCCCGTCTCTGGCTCCCCAGTGTGATGAGATAGTCGGGTCCACGGGGGGGCCGGGAGCTCCGAGCTGGTGATGACCACCGTGTTGGGACCCAAGGAGTGCAACATGTCCATCACCTGAGGAAACACGGGACTGTGAGGGTCGTACGGCATAGAAAAACCTTAGGCCACAGATAATGGGGGGAGAGGAGGGAACATGGAGGAGTAATAAACCCGGGACATTGGGGAGGTAAGATCTAGGCCAAAGATAAGGGGGGGGGTACAGACTGCTCACCCGTACAGCGTCCTGCTGAGTGCAAATCTTCTGTCCGGTCAGCAACCTGCAGAGGAAACATCGACTGTCTTCATACACCCGGCCCGTGGCACCTCAGTCCCCCCCCCCCCCCCATCCATCCATCCCAGCAGTGCCACTCTTCCACGGCCCCCACTATGAGTCTGTGCTCCCTCCTTCCTACTACCCCCCAACTTATGAATGTGGCCCTCTTCTAGGACCCCCTCCCCCCTCTTCCTATGAATGTGGCCCTCTTCTAGGACCCCCTCCCCCTCTTCCTATGAATGTGGCCCTCTTCTAGGACCCCTCCCCCCCTCTTCCTATGAATGTGTCACAGCAACAGGGTCCCCCTCCTCTGCCACGCACAACTCCCCTCCCGACCCCGACACACACCTCCCCTCCCGGCCAAGCCACGCGCGCACACACCTCCCCCCCCGCACACACCCACCACGCGCGCACACCTCACCTCACCCCCCCCCCCCCCCACCCGCGCACCTCCCCCCCCCCCCACACACACAATTCCTCCTGATTTCCCCCCCCCACACACACACACACTTCCTCCTGATCCCATATCTGAGTTAGCTGTAAAACGTTCATGTCCCCTGGGAGAACCGCCTCAATCTCTAGGATAGTCCCAGTACTTCCCCTCAGAAGAAGATACCCACCCACGCAGGACTCTGCCATGGGATCTCAGGTCCCCACCCACGCAGAACTCTGCCATGGGATCTCAGGTCCCCACCCACGCAGGACTCTGCCATGGGATCTCAGGTCCCCACCCACGCAGAACTCTGCCATGGGATCTCAGGTCCCCACCCACGCAGGACTCTGCCATGGGATCTCAGGTCCCCACCCACGCAGAACTCTGCCATGGGATCTCAGGTCCCCACCCACGCCCTCGCCATGGGATCCCAGGTCCCCACCCACGCCTCCGCCATGGGATCTCAGGTCCCCACCCACGCCCCTCTGCCATGGGATCTCAGACCCCCAGGACTCCCCACCCCACGCCCCAGACTCTGCCATGGACCCCAGGTCCCCACCCACGCACTGCCCTCTGCCATGTGACCCCAGGTCCCCACCCACACCCCGCCATGTGACCCCAGGTCCCCACCCACGCCCCACCATGTGACCCCAGGTCCCCACCCACGCCCCGCCATGTGAGCCCAGAAGGCCAATCCGCACATCTCACTTACTCTGCCTCAAACTGGTTGGGGGTAATGATATCTGCAACCGGGACAACCAGATCTTTGTAGACGGGGAGCAGTTCCTCCGGGACATACTGAGGAGACAGGAAGTCACATGGTTAGAGAGACTGAAAATGTACCTTCATGTAGTTCAACCAACAGAACATAGATGGTGAGAGTAAGGAAAAAGATTGGGTGGTGGGGGGGTCCGAATATGGGGGGGGGGGGGGGGGGGGGCGGGGTCACACACTGCTGGGGGAAGGGGGCGGAATATGGGGGGGGGGCTGTGTAAAGTTGGGTCCCTACCATAGATCCCTCTCCATTCCACTTATCTCCCAGGACCGGATCGCACACTGCGGGGGGAAGAGACACAAGATTTATTCCACAGCCGGACTAAAATCTGACCCCCCCCCCCCCAACCCGTCCTTACATGTGCTCAAACTGTCTCCCCCCTCAAGCCACACCCCGCCCTTCCATATATACCCAATGACCACACCCTGCCCCTCCCCATACATCCCCTGCCCCTCCCCATACACCCAACGCCACACCCCGCCCATACACCCAACGCCCCTCCCTATACACCCAATGCCAAGCCCTTCCCCCATACACCCAACGCCACATCCCGCCCCATACACCCCCACCCCTCCCCATACACCCAACGCCACGCCCCATCCCATACACCCAACGCCACTGTGACGGGAGTGATTTTGGGTGGGGGGCCCATGGAACACAGCCCCCTTTGGAGAGGTAGGGAGACCCCTGTCTCAGCTCCCCATATCCCTCTTATGTGTAAGTCCCCCTGTGCCTGTTAGGGGTACAGGGTGATCTGTCCTAATATTGGGGGGGGGGGGGGGGGGGTTGTGGATTGTTTGGTGTCATGTGGTGCACCCCATTGTTCTATTGTGTGTCTTGCTTGGGAGCAAACTATTATGGGATGTATGTGTTTGTGTATTGGATTGGATTAGTGGGGGTGTCTCCAGCAGCCCTCCCTCCTGATGGGACTGTCTGCTGGTGTGTCTCGTTAATAAATGTAGATTGCCCCGCCCTGTGTCAATATGCAGGGAGGGGGGATTGCCCCGCCCCAGTGTCATTAGGCAGGGAGGGGGATGGCCCCGCCCCGTGTCATTGCCCCCCCCCGCCCCGTGTCATTAGGCAGGGAGGGGGGATTGCCCCGCCCCGTGTCATTAGGCAGGGAGGGGGGATTGCCCCGCCCCGTGTCATTAGGCAGGGAGGGGGGATTGCCCCGCCCCGTGTCATTAGGCAGGGAGGGGGGATTGCCCCGCCCCGTGTCATTAGGCAGGGAGGGGGGATTGCCCCGCCCCGTGTCATTAGGCAGGGAGGGGGGATTGCCCCGCCCCGTGTCATTATGCAGGGAGGGGGGATTGCCCCGCCCCGTGTCATTAGGCAGGGAGGGGGGCTTAGTCTACTTCCTGGTTTCCTTCAAGTCTGGTGTCGTCTAGTCTTGTGCGGTCAGTGATCGGACGGGGAAGGGGAAGCGGGAGTCTAGTGGAAGTATTCAAGCGCAGTCTGGGTCAGTTCCGATACAGCCACACCCCGCCCCTCCCAGTACACCCAACGCCACACCCTGTCCCTCCCAGTACACCCAACGCCACACCAGTGTCCCTCCCAGTACACCCAACGCCACACCCTGTCCCTCCCAGTACACCCAACGCCACACCCTGTCCCTCCCAGTACACCCAACGCCACACCCTGTCCCTCCCGGTACACCCAAATGCCACACCCCACCCCTCCCCATACACCCAGCACCACACCCCGCCATTCCCTCAATGTCACACCCAGGAGAACACTAGTACAGCGCCCATAATGGGGCATCTCTTCCCGGATCTCACCGTATATCAGATTGGGGTTTTGTTTCTTCAGTTCCTGAACAATATCCACAGTCCTGGCCAAGAAGGAAGAGTCCCTCATGTACCCTGGAAGAGAGAAAACTGTCAGCCAACTCAGCACCCCGGAGCCACCACCCCGCAGTACTCGAGACCCTCCGGAAGATTGCTCACAATGCTGAAAACACCCTATGGGATCGCCCTCGGCGCCACACGCTCTACGGGGGGGATCGCCCTCGGCGCCCGGGGACATGCCCTCAATGGTGGCTCACCTGTCAGGACGTAGTCATACTGGGTGACTCCATTCAGTTTGAGCCCCTCGTAGAGTTCCTGCAGCTCTTCAGCATTCAGCACCTGACCCTTCCAATGTGTGTACCCTGCAAAGGGGAGCAGAGGAGGGATCAGTGAGGGGGTATGGGGGCCACAGAGAGCATTCAGAGGGGGGACAATGGGGAACTCACCTGTGTGGTTGGAGAACTGGACAGAATTTACCGTGTCCACCTCAATTCCCAGAACCTGTCAGAGAAAAAAGAGCACCTGTCACCCCAAATCCCAGCATACCCGACACTGCCATCCACGTATTGTGTGCGCTCCCCCACTGTGACCCCGACTTCCCACTGACCCCAATGTAAGGGACATTCTTCCCACTGACCCCCAATGTAAGGGACATTCTTCCCACTGACCCCCAATGTAAGGGACATTCTTCCCACTGACCCCCCCAATGTAAGGGACATTCTTCCCACTGACCCCCCAATGTAAGGGACATTCTTCCCACTGACCCCCAATGTAAGGGACATTCTTCCCACTGACCCCCAATGTAAGGGACATTCTTCCCACTGACCACCAATGTAAGGGACATTCTTCCCACTGACCCCCAATGTAAGGGACATTCTTCCCACTGACCACCAATGTAAGGGACGTTCTTCCCACTGACCCCCAATGTAAGGGACATTCCTCCCACTGACCCCCAATGTAAGGGACAATCTTCTCACTGACCACCAATGTAAGGGACATTCTTCTCACTGACCCCCCAATGTAAGGGACATTCTTCCCACTGACCCCCCAATGTAAGGGACAATCTTCTCACTGACCACCAATGTAAGGGACATTCTTCTCACTGACCCCCCAATGTAAGGGACATTCTTCCCACTGACCCCCAATGTAAGGGACATTCTTCCCACTGATCACCAATATAAGGGACATTCTTCCCACTGACCCCCAATGTAAGGGACATTCTTCCCACTGATCACCAATGTAAGGGACATTCTTCCCACTGACCCCCAATGTAAGGGACATTCTTCCCACTGACCCCCAATGTAAGGGACATTCTTCCCACTGACCCCCCCAATGTAAGGGACATTCTTCCCCCTGACCCCCAATGTAAGGGACATTCTTCCCACTGACCCCCAATGTAAGGGACATTCTTCCCCCTGACCCCCAATGTAAGGGACATTCTTCCCCCTTGTCCCCTCTCCTCCTCCCTGTGCCCCCCCCCCCCCCCCCCCTATCTTCTCTTTCTGCCCCCATTTTAATCTCAGTGTCCTTATTCTCCCTTCCTGTCCCCCATTGGTGACCCACCATTTTCTTCTCGGTGTCTCCCCTCTCCACCCCACTTCCTCTTGGTATCCCGCCTCCTCCTCTCTGTGTCCCCCCCCCTTCTCGGTGTCCCCCCTCTCCTCCCCCCTCCTTTCGATGAGCCCCCTCCTCCCCCTCCTCTCCTCAGTACCCCCCCCCCCTTTCCCTCTTGGTGTCCCCCTCTCCTCCTCTGTGTCTCCCTCTCCTCCCACCTCCTCCTATTCTCAGTGCCCCTCTCACTCAGTATCACCTTCTCCCCCCCCCCCTTGGTGTCTCCCCTCCTCCTCTCAGTATACTCCTTTTCCCTCATGGTATCCCCCCTCCTTCTCTCAGTGACCCCCCCTCTCGGTATCCCCATCCCCCCCTCCTCTGTGTCCCACTCTCCCTCTTGGTGTCCTCCCCTGCCCCTCTCAGTGTCCCCCCTTCCCCCCTCCTGTGTTCCCCCTCTCCCTCTTGGTATCCCCCCCCTCCTCCTCCTCTCAGTGTCCCCCCACCCAGTGTCCCCCCTCTCCTCCCCTACCCCTCTCCGGTGCCCCCCCCCCCCGTGTCCCCCCCCTCTCCCTCTCTGTGTCTCTCCTCCCCCCTACTCCTCTCCGTTGCCCCCCCCCACCCAGTGTCCCCCCTCTCCCTCTCAGTGTCTCCCCCCCCCCCCCGACCCCCCTCTCCGTGTCTCCCCCCCCCCCCCCCAGTGTCCCCCCCTCTCCTCTCCCACTCAGTGTCTCCCCCCCCCCTCTCCCTCTCAGTGTCCCCCCCCCCACCCAGTGTCCCCCCTCTCCTCTCCCTCCCAGTATCTCCCTCCCCCCGTGTCCCCCCCTCTCCTCTCCCTCTCAGTGTCCCCCCCCCCACCCAGTGTCCCCCCTCTCCTCTCCCTCTCAGTGTCTCCCCCCCCCCTCCTCTCCCTCTCAGTGTCCCCCTCCCTCTCAGTGTCCCCCTCTCCATCCCCCCTCTCAGTGTCTCCCTCCCCCCCGTGTCCCCCCTCTCCCTCTCAGTGTCCCCCCTCTCAGTTTCTCTCCCCTCCCGGTATCCCCCCCTCTCCCTCGATGTCCCTCCCCCTCTGTCTATCAGTGTCCCCCTCCCCGTATCACTCTCGGCGCCCCCCCTCCCGGTGTCCCCCCTCTCCCCTCCCCCGGCGGGGTACCTGCAGGGGGAAGGCGGCCGCCTTGTTGCCCACGTACCCCCGCACCACGTGACTCTGGATGGAGAGGACTCGGCACAGCGCCGCCATCACTCCGCTCACCGGTGACTCACAGGGGGCGGGGCCGGGCCGCTCTCACGTGCTGTGCTCTCACGTGACCCGCTCCTGTCAGCTGAATGCCCGCCCACACGGGGAGGATTCTCGGCCATGAGGCCCGCCCCTCACCTGGAGGGCAATGAATCCAGAACGCGTGAGGACGAGGGGGAGGAGCCGGAGGAGGAAGAGGGGCGTATACTAGGGTATAGAGACGTCCCCCCGGTGGGTGGAGTCAGTGATTAGAGATACGGAACACCCCGCCCACCTGTCACCCTCCATCATTCCTCTCATTGGGGACCCCGGGAGGGGGCGTGGCTGCTGTTAGAAAAACACGGGGCCCCATACAGCCACCCTGACGGGGCCCCCCAGACCACTGGGCCCCATACAGCCACCCCACGGGGTCCCCCAGACCACTGGGCCCCATACAGCCACCTCCACGGGGCCCCCCAGACCACGGGGCCCCATACAGCCACCTCCACGGGGCCCCCCAGACCACGGGACCCCATACAGCCACCCTGACGGGGCCCCCCAGACCGCTGGTCCCCATACAGCCACCCCTGACGGGGCCCCCCAGACCGCTGGGCCCCATACAGCCACCTCCAAGGGGCCCCCAGACCACGGGGCCCCCATACAGCCACCTCCATGGGACCCCATACAGCCACCACCACGGGGCCCCATACAGCCACCCTGACGGGGTCCCCCCAGACCACTGGGCCCCATACAGCCACCTCCACGGGGCCCCCCAGACCACGGGGCCCCATACAGCCACCTCCACGGGGCCCCCCAGACCATGGGACCCCATACAGCCACCTCCACGGGGCCCCATACAGCTACCCTGACGGGGCCCCCCAGAACACTGGGCCCCATACAGCTACCCTGATGGGGCCCCCCAGACCACGGGACCCATACAACCACTTCCATGGGATCCCATACAGCCACTCCAGGGCCCCCCCAACCACAGGACCCTATACAGCCACCCTGATGGGGCCCCCCCTCAGAACATGAAAGTTTACTCTGGGTCCGGTATGAATGGACACGGGGGTGTGATGGGTGCCGATCACTGATTGTGTTCATTGATGTAAGGCGGGGCGGGTGAAGGGGACATTTATGGGACTCCTCCCCCCTCCCCCGCTCTCCATCCTGATGGATCTATTGTGATGGAAGGAATCCGGCAACACTGCGGGGGGGGGCATAATGGAGAAACATACAGTGTGCAGTGGGGGGGGGGGCGGGATGGAGAAACGTATGGTGTGCAGGGGGGGGGGGGCACAGTGGGTGGTGGGGGGGGCACATGGGGGGGGGGCGGGATGGAGAAATGTACGGTGTGCAGGGGGGGGGCACAGTGGGTGGGGGGGGCACATGGGGGGGGGAGGCGGGATGGAGAAAACGTGTATGTGTGCAGGGGGGGGGCACAGTGGGTGGGGGGGGCACATGGGGGGGGGGAGGCGGGATGGAGAAACGTATGGTGTGCAGGGGGGGGGGCAGGATGGAGAAACGTATGGTGTGCAGGGGGGGGGGCACAGTGGGTGGGGGGGGCACATGGGGGGGGGGCAGGCGGGATGGAGAAATGTATGGTGTGCAGGGGGGGGGCACAGTGGGTGGGGGGGGGGAGAAACGTATGGTGTGCAGGGGGGGGGGGCGGGAGGCGGCGATGGAGAAACGTACGGTGTGCAGGGGGGGGGGGCGGGATGGAGAAACGTATGGTGTGCAGGGGGGGGGGGGGGGGCGGGATGGAGAAACGTACGGTGTGCAGGGGGGGGGCACATGGGGGGGAGGCGGGATGGAGAAACGTATGGTGTGCAGGGGGGGGGGGCACATGGGGGGGGAGGGGGGGATGGAGAAACGTACGGTGTGCAGGGGGGGGGGGGGGGGGGGGGCGGGATGGAGATGGAGAAACGTACGGTGTGCAGGGGGGGAGGGGGATGGAGAAACGTACGGTGTGCAGGGGGGGGGCACATGGGGGGGGAGGCGGGATGGAGAAACGTACGGTGTGCAGGGGGGGGGGGGGGGGGGGAGAAACGTATGGTGTGCAGGGGGGGGGGGGAGGCGGGATGGAGAAACGTATGGTGTGCAGGGGGGGGGGGGGCGGGATGGAGAAACGTATGGTGTGCAGGGGGGGGAGGCATCAGGGGGAGAAACGGGATGGAGGGGGGGGGCGGGATGGAGAAACACGTATGGGGGGAGGCGGGACAGGTGTGGGGGGGGGGGGCATGGAGAAACGTGGGGGGCAGGGGGGGGAGAAATGTATGGTGTGGGGGGGGGGGGGGAGGTGGCAGGATGGAGAAACGTATGGTGTGCAGGGGGGGGCACATGGGTGGGGGGGGGCAGGCGGGATGGAGAAACGTATGGTGTGCAGGGGGGGGGCATGGAGAAACGTATGGTGTGCAGGGGGGGGGGCATGGGGGTATGGTGTTGCAGGGGGGGGCGGGATGGAGAAACGTATGTGTGCAGGGGGGGGGGGGCGGGATGGAGGAACATGGTGTGCAGGGGGGGGGGGAGAAACACATGGGGGGAGGGGCGGGATGGAGGAAACAACGTATGGTGTGCAGGGGGGGGGGCAGGGGAGGGGGGGGGGGCACAAAGGGGCATGGGGGGGACGGGGTTATGGTGTGCAGGGGGGGGGGGGGGGCACAGAGGGACGCACAGTATCTCTGGAGAAACGTATGGTGTGCAGGGAGGGGGGGGGGCAAATGGAGAAACGTATGGTGTGCAGGGGGGGAGGGGGGGACATGGGTCTGAAAAAAAAAACGTATGATGTCAGGAGAACACAGGCAGCAAAACTCATGGGGGGGAGGCGGGATGGAGAAACGTATGGTGTGCAGGGGGGGGGCACAGTGGGTGGGGGGGACCCACACATCTGCCCCCCCCCCCCAGGGGGGGGGGGAGGGGATGGATAAAAACGTCGGTGTGCAGGGGGGGGGCCGGATGGACTTCCCTCTAAAACGTTCCATGGTGTGCAGGGGGGGGGGACTCGGGGGCTCAGGGAGCTCATGGACTCGGGGAGGGCACGTGGAGCTCAACGATCGGTGTGCACGGGGGGGCTCAGGGGCTCGGACGGCTCACGGGGGGAGGCAGACTCGGACGGCTCAGTGGAGCTCAGACTCGGGGGGCTCACGTGGAGCTCAGGGGGGGCTCACGTGGACGTGCTCAGGGGGGGGCAGGGCGGCTCACGTGAGCCTCAGACTCGGGCGGCTCGTTACGGTGTGGAGCTCAGACTGGGAAGGTGGGTGGGGGGGGCATGGAGCTCAGACCCGGGATGGAGACGTATGAGCTCAGACCCGGGGGGGGGCTCACGTGGAGGGTCGTACAGGCCATAAAGGGCGGCTCACGTGGAGCCCTCAGACTCGGGAGCGGGGGGGCTCAGGACTCGGACTTCTCAACGTGGGTGCTCAGACTCGGGGGGGCTCACGTGGAGCTCAGACTCGGGCGGGGGGCTCACGTGGAGCTCAGACTCGGGCGGCTTGTGCACGATGGAGCTCAGACTCGGAAACGTTATGGGTGTCACGTGGGGGCCAGACTCGGGCCCCCTCCGTGGAGCTCAGACTCGGGGCGGGTCACGTGGAGCTCAGACATCGGGCGGCAGCACGTGGAGCTCAGGCTACTCGGGGCGGCTCCCACGTGGAGCTCAGACTCGGGCGGCTCACGTGGAGCTCA